GCCAAGGGCTCGGGGCTGGCCTGGCCTGGCCCTGGGCGCGCGGTGCTTGGGGGGGCCCCGCCCCTGGACACGTGGCTATGGGGGGGCCCCGCCCCCGGGCGCGCAGCTATGGGGGGGCCCCGCCCCCGGGCACGCAAGTGTCCCCGCCCCCTGGTGCCCGGCGGGCAAACGGCCACGCCCCCTGGCACCCGACAACCTCAAAAGGTTGGGGACCACTGGAATAAGCAGATTTGACCATTACTGAAGCAATGTAATAAATTAAGAGAAGAGTGTACTTACATTACTCTGGTGTTTATTTACTTCCATAGCATGCTTAACGTCTGGGGGCTCCGTCATATGTGCATAATCTGATGTCACTTTTTCAGCATCATATTTCTGTTTGTAGAGTACCTTAAAAAGCAATATAGGTAGAAACAGATAAACACAGATCTACTAGGAGATATCATTTTTAAAGGATAATACCTAAATTTACTAATCACTAATTTGAAGGAAAGTGACACTATCTTGAATTTATGAACTAGTTTTCTTATTTTTGCAGTAGAAATTAAGCCAAACATTAAGCAATCCTACAGCTTTCATAGTACTGCATGTACAAGCCAACCAAATATGTGAAAACTTACATTATACCTAACCTTGACATAAGCTTTTATGCTTACATTTAGCAAATGTAGCAGGTTTTGATTCCTGAAAAGGAAACATGCATCAAGAGGATGTGTTTTCAAACTGCTCTCTGTACTAAGCAATACAATAATCCATGAGAAAACGGTAAATACTAACACAGTAAGGTTGAAAGCTGATCAAGAGAAGGAAGATTTGAAACTAAAATCTTCAATATAAAGAAAAATTAATACCCTAAAATTCTTTAGAAAATAGCCCCTGAGAACATTACCCAAGACTATTTGAATATATGAGAATAGAAATCGGTGGAAATGCCCTTTCTTGCCTATTTGAAAGGCACTATGATTCTATATAAGAGACACAAATCAAGTAACCTAGGAGATATAAAATACCCAAACTGACTATATCCAGTAACGAGAAGATCCACAGATTAAAGATGAATGTGAAAAGTAGACTTTTTCTAATACTACCATTTTAATGCATATCCAAAACTTTAAAAACATAAAATATGCTGTATTTCTATAGGATGTAAAACCAAAAACAAAGATGGCTTGTCCTTAGGGGAAAAAAATTCATACCAAAACAAAAATCTGAGACACTATCTCATTATATTATGTATTACATTTTGTAGCTGGCAAAGCAAGTAACCCCCAACAAAATCATAGGAGCAGTCTAGTTATGTAATCTGTGACCAAAACCCCTCCCTTGAAGAAGTCGCTTTCATGATGTTTCCAACCCTAGCAAGCCTGAAAAAAAATGTCCCAAGATTGCTTCCAAAATGGAATCACTCACTTGTACAATATACATAGTACCATATATTAACTTTTTTATACTGAAATGTTAGCTATAGCAACAAAGTCATCAATGTGAGAAACCGTATATTAATTGCACAGAAGCTTCCATCAGTTTGTGTAAACAGCTCTGTTTGTGTAAACAGACGAGTATTTGGCTTGTAATTTAACAACTTTATAATCTTCTTTCTCAGTGTTCTCTATTTAACTTAATTTTGTGATAATGTAACATTTTATTTTGTAAAGTAGAGAATCATAGAATTATTTTTCATTAGAAAAAGTCAAATAGTAATCTATAATCTACCTGGAGATCATATATTCATAAACTATATCTCACAATTTGTATAATCAAGTTTGAAAGATTTAAAGAAATGGCAATTTCACCACTATTCTTGGAAACATGTTATTTATCTACAGTGATTTATCTTGTGCTTATAATTTTTTCTCATTTTATATAAGTTTTCCATGCTTTGGCATATGTGTTTATATTTTTAAACATTAGCATATAGCACAATAAATGTGCTAAACAGAAAGATTAAAGATTACAGGTCCTCCTAACAACCTTAACTCTGCCCCAAAGTGATGCAATATATTAACAATGCATTATGATAAAAGCATTTTAGTGTGTGTGACAGTGATTAAACTGATCTGTATGGATAAATTACGTTTTCTCTCTCTCTCTCTCTCCTCCCCTGCCATTGTATCCATATAGAATAGTCAATACTGTTTTGGTACCCTGGCTATGCAGTTCCACACCTTAAAATATTTAGTTTTCTTTCAAGTTTAACCTTATCTCTGAATTTCCTGAATTCCTAATGTTTGTTTCTGCATAATTACAACATTTAACAATAATTTTTACCTTTACATTAATAATTAAGTTACCGATATGACCACTCACCTTCAACTCCACCTTAACCTAGTGTTATTGTTATTTTGGATTTTGTTGTTGAGATTTCTATTTTTGGTCTACGAATATATATAAAATGGGCATGAAGTAGTAGAGAAATAGGACATGTAATAGGTACATGAGAGAACTGTGTTACCAGATATGCTTTTGAATACAGAATTATAACTAGACTATTAATATCTGCTGCTTTTCAGAGAGGAAATTAAAAACACAATATACTTCACCATAAGCATTAAGTAATATATGTAACTGTTGAACATTGTGTAATATGGGTACCAAGTATGAAACTGAAGGCTAACTTTTACAAACTTGGATCCAGTTCTGGTTTCAATAAATTAACATTACAATGATGCAATAAAGCTCAAGAAACCATTTACAGCACATCTTATAGTAACAGGAGGGCTCTGTGTATTAGAAAGCAATTACATTGATGCTCTTTGACTCTCCTGGAAGTCAAATGTGGGACTTAAGATTCTCTTGATACTTCATCATCAAAAACAAGCAGAAAATATTGTTAAACATCCACATAAAATAACTTCTTGAGATGCTGTAGCAAATGCTTGAAACAAGAAACTATCTGCTGACATGTTATAATCTTCAATTTGCTGTATGTTCTTTTTTTCCAGATAAGGAATAACCAGAGCAATTTTTTTCTCATGGCAGAAACAAAGCAATGGAATGCATACAATCTTTTATGATGTTCCTTGCATCATTTCGTCCCTCAGGCTATTAAAAATGCTTTGTGTGTGCAATACCATTTTAAAACTATGTTGGAAGGGGGCTAAGTCCACTGCTTTACTGAGAGGAAAAAGACAAGGTACAAAATAGGGATACAAGCAACTAGTCCATTAATCGACTACCCAATAGGCAGGGGAGGGGAGCAGGAGCCGGCTCCCCCAAGCACTGTCTCGGGGAGGAGGGGCAAAGGAGTCAAAGGCATAGCAAGGGACCAGGCGTGAGCCAGGAATCTGCTGACTCCTGGCATGTGCCCGGTCCCAGATGCTGCACCTCTGTTTTTTAAATGTATTAAGAGCCACCAGGAGCTGCCTGGGACAGGAGCTAACCCTGCTGCAGTTCTGCAGTTTCCCCCCTTACTGACTAATCACGTAGTCAATGGAATTTCCATCGACTACCCGATTCGCTGATTACCTGTAATTTAACATCCTGAATACAAAACTAGAGCTCATTGGGAATTTTCCAATGGAAAATGCCATATGTGTAAAAATCAAAAATTTCTGTGGGAAAATTCTATTTTGCCAGAAAATTACAATTTTTCAATGGGTAAGTGAAAATGAAGGCTCCCTTGGTGCTCACCTAAAGGACTCATCTGAATTCCATTTTCTGCTATAAGGGAGAAAGTGAAATTGATAAGAACTTTTTTGATGGAAAGCCAACAGGTGAAAAAATAGTTTC